CTTATGTCCAGTGGCAAATATGTCACGCATGTTTAGAACAAATATAATAGAGATCAAAGGATAAAGAATAGAGTGAAATGGTAAAAACTAAAAGATATAGAATTATAGAAACGATCTTTGATCTGAAACCCCCTACCCTCACACACACACACCATAACCATTACTGCCAATACTCGCATATATACATCTCTATACAAATATCTAAATTTGAACCTACTCCCCCCCCCCCCCCCCTTTCTAGACACCGAGGTTTTGGATCCGCCCCTGTTAAATGTGTCTAATTATATACATTGTGTACGGGTCTAGATAATAGCTAAACGTACAATCATATAATTTGTTGGATACCTAATTATATTATATAATGTGTCACAAAATAAACTTGTATACCCCCCTTCCCAATGCAGTATTGAAAAGTAAATCATTTAAAAGTCCTGAAGATAAAATATGTTTTGAAATATGCCCTGCATACTTATTTATGCAAAGACATATAGTAATTATTGAACTACTGTGGGGCTTGAAAAAAAATCTATTTAAGGGATTCGGAGGTGAGAACAGTAAAAAAAAGCTCAGCAACGAATCCTAAATGTAAAATGATTTGCAGCATAAGACATGAGAGCACATATCATAGATAGTATTAAATATGAAGTTCACGCCTCATATAGTGAAGTCCTATGTCATAGGACTATTGTTGTAACATGGGTTAGTAACTGGTTCCAAATTATCCTGAATTGTCTTTATTAAAGAATTAGTTCCGGAGTATAACAGCTTATGTCTCTACTTGTGGGTTTCTAGTTCTGCTGTCGTAATTAGGTGATTTTTTTTCTACATGTAGTAAAAAAGAGGGGGCTTAGTCCAAATAATTGTAACGTCCTGGATGCTTTTTATTCTTTTTTCATGTGCCTTCCTGCAACGTCTCTGAGGATCAAGAAAAGTAAAAAATGATATAGCACTAAAGAACGTCATGATTACATGTATCTGGACTTAGAAGGGGGAGGGGGGCTAGCTATGTATTTTTTTTTATTTCAATGTGTAGACTGTAGGAGAGTTTCTTCAGAAAAGGTTTTCATTGGAGGTGTTTTTACCATGCACGCAGGCATCTGTTTCAGCGCTATCCATGAACAAATTGTGTGTCAAATTAATTATTATTACTTGTCACTCGCATTTTTTGCTCGTCCTGGCCATTATTGGCATTAACAGCCAGCGCAGGACTCGCACGAACGTTAGATTTAGTTAGAGGGGCGATATTCTGACGCGTTTTTTAATTCTTGGTCACCCATGTTTAGAAAGAAAGGGGAGACATCCAAATAATTTCCGACCAATCACAAACGTTGTTGCAAATTTGACCTTATGACGTCAAAGAATTTCCCATAATGCAATTATTGCATATAAATAAAAAACTACTATACCAATTGAATAAAAAATATTGCATTCAAATGACATTTTATACCAATTGAATAAAAACTATTGCATTTGAATGAAAATTATACCATTTGAATGAAAAATTATACCATTTGAATGAAAAATTATACCATTTGAATAAAAAATATTGCATTTAAATGAAAAAATATACCATATAAATGAAAAATTATACCATTAAAATAAAAAATATTGCATATAAATGAAAAAATATTGCATATAAATGAAAAAATATTGCATATAAATGAAAAAATATACCAATTAAATGAAAAATATTGCATTTAAATGAAAAATATCAAATTTTTGCAACCAATACCATGCCATAAACTAAGCAGTTTTACATAGCTTGGAATTGAAGCTCCTTAAAGACTGTACGTTATTATTCAATGATTTGTATTAATTTAGTTGTTTTTGGTAGTTTATTTTTAGAACATAAATTTATGCGGGTCTGAATTGAGGTCCTTCATTTTTTAATTCTGTAATATTTAGGTTATGTTCTCTATTCTTTATATTTTTGACTATTATTCTCTATTCGTTCTATTTTAGCACCTCATTTGTCTAGTTTCTTTATTTGTTTGCCTTTTTTTTCTCTATTTCTGGAGGGTCCGTTTTTCTATAGAATTGAACCATTATTCTCTATTCTATAAACCCCATCCAGACCCTCATGTCTAAACAACAATGACTTCATCAAGATGAACTTCCATTTAGATGCTTTGAAAGACTTCTCAGTTGGCTGATCGTTTTATGTTTTCTTGTTTTGTCTTTTGTCTATGTAAGTAAATTTTATGACTGTTCCTTGGACGACTAAAACGTTTTACCTGCATTCGATGAAGAACCATTTGAAGTTAAGTCGTATCTAAAACAAATGAGAAATAATTTCCAAGCATTGAATCAAATGTGATTAACAAGACTTATATACACTTGTGGAAAGTTGGAGGCAACAGTAGTTTACCGATGTTCAAATCATAAATTCATTGAAGGGTTACAAATCAACGTAAAATAACAATAACACAGGGAATTGCATAAAGTCGACAAGGCATGCGTCTCCTGCTATTCGTGTATTACTTGCCATGCGAATCCACACTCAGTCATATTGTCTTTAAAGCTCGAAGAGAAATTATATTAAGCAAACTCATCATAGAGACCAGGAATAAAATGATGTACGACAAACACACGTTTCGTCTTGAAAAGACTCATCATCGAATCAAAAAAGTTTAAAGCAGAAACATTTGCTGACATCGTATTCGTAGAAAAAACAAGCTAATAAGGGTTTTCATTTACTTTTTCAATTCAAGTTTAGGTACATTTGTACGTAAATCTAGAAGAATTATATGACGGCTTTTCTAGAAACACATGTTTACGAAATGAAATAGGTACCCTACGTTAATTTTACCTGGTAAAGAGCATTGCATGATCATGTCCGGGCAGGCTACCAGTTCCCGACTGTACCCAATTCTCAAAATTAGTAAGGGCGTCTGATGATTCAACTTGGTAAGGACTCACACTGGTTATCTTGATTGATTCTGTCCATGATGAGTCCGATCGAGTCTGTATAAAATATAACGAGCAAAAGTATTATATTAAGATAACAGATTATAAATTGTGTCCGCGAGGAGCTATCACACTAAAAGTGACCAAAGAAGAATAGCTAAGTTTAACTTTGCATGAGAGAGTTTGAACTTTAGTTTCTTAATAATTTCTTTAGTATGCTGTTATAAAGTTCTAAATAACTTCAAATTAAGGAATGTATCCTCCCTCGTCCTTACCTCAAACTTAATTTAAAATTTGGCTTTACTTTTGATATTTTATGGTTTTATTAGCATTGGCTAAGGCTAACTATAGGGTAGAAAAAATCTTAGTATCTCGAAAAGATTTTAAAGTTTAATGAACAGTTAACTTACATAAAATGGTGTATCATTGATACTTCATATCAACATATGATTGCTGATTATTGGGTTGGTGATACCCTCGGGGACGACACGTCCACCAGCAGTTGCATCGACCATGTGTTAGTTACAAGTCATCAAATATACCAGACTACTGTAATACTATTGTACAACTGACGGGGGTTTCCATCCATGACACAAAATCAATACATGCACAGCAAAAACACACAATAAGATAAGAAAATATTTATTCGAGTGTTTGTGTTGCCCTCAGTAATTTATATTACTAAACAAGACAGAGACTATTTAACGTTACCTTGATAATTACAATCATAGCAATATTCAACAGTAATGCAGTACACTTTTCGTCTTGAAAATATTTTTTATTTTGTATTTGATGACGAGTAAATTCTCATAAACATGGTGTTTGATACTTATACATGTTATAAATTTACCAACCTGGGAAATGATTATTCCGGCAAACTTGATGGCTATTACATAAGAAGTGGTTTGTATATTTTTGTACATGGCATCCATCTGTAAAAAGATGTTTTAAAATATTGAACTCTTAAAAATCGCTCAATTAAGTTCTATTGTGAGTAAATAGTAAATGTGTATTGAAAGTGAGGATATGTACATTCATATATTGCGACTTGCATTGAGACACAAAAGCGGCTGAAGGCATTTTATTCATTTTTGGGGGTTTGCATCTTCTCTTTGTTTTGGATAAAAACAACTGCTTAAAATTCATATTATTCTACCACACATTGAATAGGCAATGACCTACCGTGCTACATACAAAAAAGATCAGCTGTTTAGCTTAAGTTTATTTGGTAAAACTGGAATGGGTTGCTTACTTTCGTTGTCATCACTTATCACCAAACATGAGTAATATCTTGGGTAAGCCACATTAAGATCATAATACTAATGCCAATAACAATTCTCATTGCACACGGCTGTGTACAATTCGGCTATGGTCATCTTCATCATACATCGCCCTCTTTCCATGATGTCTCTATAATTTCATAATGCCTTTTATATAGCATCTGTTGGATATTCGTCACATTCATACGAAGCTATATTCTCTACCATTTCAAAATTTCATTCACTGTAAATCTGTTATACCTATACCGCGCCTTTTGTGGCTAAAAATTATAATTAAAAGAGAGGCAGAAGATACTAAATGAATAGTCAAACTCGAAAACGAAATAACAATGCAATGCTTGAAGGTTGCTGCTTAGATATTAAAAAAAAACATCACAATTAGGAGGCTTAAATCATCTCTTTTGTCGTTAGTTTTCTCAACCGACCCTCATTTTCAATTTCTAGATGCATGTCAAGATATGAGGCAGACTTAACTGTATGTAATTAACAATAATGCCTTTTCTTTTGATGTACTAGTAACTTATCAACGTATTTATAGGAGTCACACGACGGGTGTTTTTTAGACCGTTGTCTGTCTTTTCGTCGTTTTTCGTTTTTTTACCACAGCGTTGTACGCTTCACGATTGATGTCCCTTGGTATCATCTGCCTCTTTTTATTATCATTATTATAATCCTTGCTGTTTTTGGGGTTGTTGTTGTTTATAATTTATTATTATTGCATTTATACGGCATTGAACATATATATATAACATATACATAAAAGTATTTCCAAGTCATATACATTTAATTCATCAGTCTTAACGATAAGCTCACCCCATTAATAATGAAGGCATAAAACTGTCGAATTGTTATTATTGATTCTGCATCTTTTTCAACATGGGTCGATTTCGTGCTTTTGTCATACCAACTGAAAACATGTTATTAGATAAAGTATTATTTTCTAAATAGATGTATTTGTTCCATACATTTCATGAAAGGTTTAGACAAGAATGTTCTTCAGAAAATGTGAAAGTATTGTATCACCATCGTTTTGTCCATTTCATTCGAAAATCAAATTTGTTTATGAATCTTTCGATTACCATCCTTCAGATGTCCGCAAAAACATTAATATTCAGTTAGAGTATCAATGTTTGGTTTTTTTTTTATTTTAACTTATATTTTTGGTATATGGGGTATATATGTCCAACAAATTTGCGACACGTGTTCGTGGTCTTTAGATACCAGAATAATTCTTTGATTTGTTAATCGACCAATTGTTGTTTATTGTCGTAATTCAGTGTCAACTAGCATTGTTTTTGTATTTTAACCTTAATTTGTACCTTCTTGGTGATTTTATGAAATTTGAAAATCGATAAATTAAAGTTGATTTTTATATATAGATTTTTTAAATATGGAGAAAAGATTATTACCTGAACAAATTGATTTTTTGGAGAAGTTTGATTTTTGAAGACATGGCTTACTTAAACCTTTAAAGTTAATAACTGCTTACAAGCCAAATGTCATATTAGTTAAATTCACGTAGATTATCATATTACAAGGAAAATAACAGAGACAGATTATCACCTTAGACTTAGCAATAAGACAAAAAAAATTAAAAAAAAACAATCGACATTACCTCTTAAATGAGACAACAACTTACAATTGGTATATAGAATAGTCTACAACTATAAGTAGCTCCAGTAGATATGATCCTGCAGCGCGTTTATATCTGTTAGGAGAATCAATTCCCATAGCTGTTTCCGTAATTTCTACAAAAAGAACATTTCATGCTGAAAGAAATTTTAAAATATGTTGAAATCTAGGTTGCTAACTAAATATTTCATGAAATATTCCACAACATCATAATTACGTTTAGGCATTTGTATATCATAAAATAAAAAAGTTTAAAAATACATAATGCTGCACAATGCTTAAACATCTCCGATAGTCCGGAAAACGCTTAACCAGTTAGTCGAAATATACCTATCATATGTACTTTTCGAAGTTTGCCGACGAATACCGACATTAAACGGGGTCATCTTTCCATCTTGTTGTCATATCCACGTCATTGCTTGTCGTTAATCAGGTACATAATAATACAGATACTTTAATAGAAGATTAATATTTAAAAGGATAAATCATCGTTTTCATTACCTCCCCTTCTGTGGAAAAAATGTACATGATACTTCTATTTTATTAAAAACTCATAATCAATTTTTCTTATCAGGGTAAAATCTTTTTAACACTGATGTTTTCTGAATTATCCTCTTATTTGACAAAATGGTAATTTCACCATTAGATATATGTATATTCTATTCTCCTCTTAAACATAGCATGATTTCAAATTTTATAATCTACTTATTCTTTTACTCTTTAGCTTGGTTTTAATATCATATTTTATACAAAAGCTACTCATTATGACGTCAACATTTATAACTAGTACATGCTTATAGTATATTGACGAGTTAGTTCTTGATTGAGCTTTATATTAGAACGATCATTTCTTTTGACTTCACGTTCAACAATGAAGAAATAGATAGCTTTTTTTCTTTAAACTACAAATTCATTAAAATTGCAAACTTACCTTTTAGCGCAAGATCATTGAATGTTACATTCTGATTGTTTTTCTTAAAAATGTGAAATTTGTTGTATTTCTGTCTGAATTGAATCATGTGGATGGGTGAGTGGTTTTCCTGTGATTGAAGGATATATTCCTCTCCGTCTATTTGAAATACTCCAAACTGGAAAAAGAATAAAATAAACAATTTACTCTGGATGCTTTTGTAAACTAATACCAATTGCTCGAAATAGTTAAATACAATACTCTTCTATTGTTTGATGGTATACTAAACTTGTTATATACATTTTAGAATGCAGTGCAACAAAACAAGGCTATTATATTCATGGTGTTCTTATATTTCTTTTAAATGAAGGAAGTATTCGTTTTAAATGTGAAATCCTTAAACAGTGCAAAAATTCCTATGACCATCATAATATAAAAAAATCAACTTTTAACTTCTTCTTGCAAATTTCTCGAAACAATCTGCCAATCGTATTAAAGAGCTTGAAATTTAGCGTTCATCTTGAGTGTGTACGAAGAAAAGCCATAGGAAGGGCTTAGCTCTGTAACAACATAAACCTAAATTATGTTTATTCTTGCAATTACCGTGCTGCTTCTATTTCTCTGATCTCTCTGCATTACAAATACTGCTCCGTTGACAACATCTTGGTAAAATTTTGATTCCTGAAATTGAAATAGAAACTTATATAAATTAATAAATTTACCAAAAAGATTCCGGTCATTTATAGTTGTGTCTTTTATATGAAACAATTTTGAGCAATATTCTTCTCCAAATACAATGTAACACAAGTAAAATGTTTCACTTGGTGTGTGGATAGCAAATAGTCTAAAAACTAAGCACCTCTAATATAATTGATACGTTTAACTATAAGACTTGAACATCGATACTAAAAATAGTTTTAATGGGCATATATTTACCTCCGAATTACTTAATTTTACTTTTTCACAAAATGAATCCTTGTTAAAACAAACTCATAAAATACACATGGTTGATAATTTTGTATGTTAGACGCGGGTTTCGTCTACAAAGTCTCAACATATAACCACAAACAAACGTTTGATAAACTAAGTTTCATCTTTAAAATGATATTCTACTTGTTTAAGACAATGTAAACATTGCAACCATTAGCATATTTGTTTACCTCATTATCTGAAACATCTCTGGAAATTATGGTATCACTTTTCAAAATAAAAGTAGGAACGTTCAATTTGATGTGATCATTGCGTGTAAGATGTATATGAATCGGAAATCCTTCCATTGAAAATTTAAAATCAAACGTCTCTGAATAAAAACTGTCTTCTGCAGATCGTTTTGTTCTTTTTTCTTCTTTAATATGAATGTAGACATCTTCTGCAAATATACAAATAGACCAGATTTAAGTTCCCATTATCTTGCACATTGTATTATCGTCTTCACTTCCAAGTTTTGATGGCTTTGTGAACTTAATTGCGATAAAAATAGAAATATGTCAATCATCATTCTTTTAAGGTATCCAGGTATCTATTTGTTCAAATAATGGAAACATAAATAAGAGTTTAATTCAATTTTAAAACAAACTGAGTGTCAGCGTGACTTTATATACAAGCAGCGAAGAAACATACTTTTGAAACATTTTAGTTTAACTATCTCAGTTAATACGTTACAATCGAGCATGTTTACAGTATACGGATTAAAAGGGCTGTGTGTCCTTTTACTTTTTAGCCATGGCGTTATCAGTTTATTTTCGAATTATGAATTTGACTGTGCCTCTGATATCTTTCGCCTCTCTTTTACACATAAACTGTTCCATTAGAGTTATGATGAAAAACGACTCAAACATTCACAACATAAGTTTTACGGTCACATCACCATTTGGTTCACCTATTCAATGTTTAGGTGTCTCAACTCACTAGTGGTTTGTTTTCGCAGTCGTAAATCTTTAAATACTAGTGTCGTCTGTTCTATTATTCTACCAATTGTGTCCTTTCCCGATTGTGACATTTTTACCGAATGGGAATAAGCATGGCGGGTGATGTATGCATAGCGGGATACGCTTTTCTGTCGATGCACCCTGTCTCGCTCCTTTTTGGTGTTCATAGGACTCCTCATTTTTTTGTTTGTTATGTTTGTCTCTTTTTATTCGATTAACGATATTTTAAATTAGCAAATTTTTGGCCAAACAAACTGAAGACCTACTAAGACGGTGTAATCAAGATAGTATGGCTAAAATATTGATCAGAAGTCGTTTGAAATGGATTGGAATTTCCATCACTAGAACAGCATTGCATTGGACTACAGAAGAAAGGCGCAAATGTGGAAGAGCATAAAACACATGTAGACGTATTGTAGAAGGAGAAATGAAGACCATATATAGCACCTGAAGAACACTAGAGAAGATGACCAAAGACAGACAGAATTGGAGAACCTTGCTGCCCTACATGCCTATGGCATACTGGACAGTTAGTAAGTAAACTACTGTTGTTTTACTTTAGATTTGTAGTTATCCCTAAATATTCTCAAAAAATAAAATATTGAGAAATATGTTACAGTACAAATTTGGAATAAAATACGCCTAGTGAGAATTGGAATTCAAAATATATACTTATGTCTTTCAGATGAAGAACAGCAATAAAAGCGCTGTTCCTTTGCTTTTTGTGTTTTTTGCTGTGCATGTATTGATTGTGTGTCATGGATGGAGACCGCATATCCTTTGTTTTTCTATGAGTTGAATTCTGATTTAAACTTATTAGTACAAAACAGAATTCACTATCTATTAGTAGAAATTTTGAAATCTAGATTCGTAAACGGAGGATCCTGGATTGCCCTAGATATCTTCTCAAAAAGACGCATTACATAACAAAAAGAATATGCTGGTTTACTTCATCATACTGAAATAAAATTGTATTCAAAACGTATCTGAATTCAATCAAAAAGTTCTTAATGTCTCTCCAATGATGTTCTAGGCCAAAAAATTGAAACATATAAAAAGTTTTGACAAGTACACTGAAATGTTTAAATCTATACAAGGATTCTGTCTTGAATATAAATAATGGCCAAACTCGGTAAACTTCAGGAACAAATTCGATAGTTGACTAAACAGCCAAACCAAAAATTTTCATAAACATTCATCGAATAAAATATTTCTTGTCGATGATACGTCATGGATTCGTAACAATGTTAAAAAACAAACACAGAGGATTTAGTTTAGTATATATGCATGCATTAGTTCAGTAATTTCCTTAGCATTATAATTACCAAAACCTGTCTTCATACGACTCTATAAATATTTTTTTGATATACATATTATTTTAGTTTTCTTAGAGACTAGCTAATTTTAGAATTATAATTTGTACTGGATTTTAGTATAAATCATATTCTAATGTTGGTCCCCTAGGCTACCCCCGTGATTTTATATGGCAATTTTTAAATCTAACATTTTTATTATCTAGTATATGCATTATGTAATTGTACTTCAGCTAAGTCTCCTTATTGATAACATGATCATTTATTAAACGGATGTCTAAATGATGAAATGTGATACCACTTATTTATCTTAGATTGTTTTACATCGTTGGGTGTATCAAAAAGAATCGTATCGAAATTGAAAACATTTAGTAGTGTTATGATTCTGTAATTGTTTATTTTTAAATGGGTAGCAAAATTGGTTTAAGTCTGTCCGTCCGCCCGTTGCACATTTCTGTCACATATTTTTCAGCAACTTCAACTCAAAACTTCTTTTATATATTGATCTACGCACAATTAGGTATCCCATTGACTGTGGCATGGTCAAATTTACAGAGTAACATATATACAATTTAAGAATTCCAAAATTGGAACTATGGCACCTTTGGCATTTCATTATGTTATGCAGAAGCAAACAAAGTAAATAATGGTTTTTAATGTTATTGATACGAACTAAAATTTCATACAAACAAAAAAGGTTCAAGGACAAATAAAACAAGCATCTTGTCAAGTTCTTCTATCAGTTTTAGAATTTCAGAAATAAGATTTCCTGTCACTAAGAAACCCACATTTCGGTGAGTATTTGCATTCTATATATATATATATATCCCAGTAAACCTGAGATGAAGGATACTTCCAAAACTAGAAGGTCTGCTTCATGTCTTGATCTTTTCTTTGATATTGACACTGATGGACGATTTCCAAATAGAAATCTATGACAAATGTTATGATTTCAGTTTTCAAGTTGTCCTCTTCCCTTTTCTCACAAGTATCGTACCCTCTGTCCCATCGTGTGGCGTTCACATATCGTTATTGATACGTTAGACTCTTGCTTGTTTCCATTATACGGACTTCATAAACAGGGCTGTTGTGTTTGTGGTCTTGACACAGACACTTTTTTCACAAGGTTACAGGGATCAACGACTGAAATCGACACTACATAAAAAGAGGGGCGAAAGATACCAGAGGGACAGTCAAACTCACAGATCGAAAACAAACCGACAACGCCATGGCCAAAAAATAAAAAGACAAACAGACAAATAATAGTACACAAGACACAACATAGAAAACTAAAGACTAAGCAACACGAACCCCACCAAAAACTGGGGGTGATCTCAGGTGCTCCGGAAGGGTAAGCAGATCCTGCTCCACATGTGGCACCCGTCGTGTTGCTCATGTTATTACAAATCCGGTAAATAGTCTTATTCGGTAGGTCACATTCGTGGTGAAAAAGGAAGTAGATTGTATTTACGACATAAGAAACATATCCGATATCATCTGTGAAACGGTTATTCCATAACGGTCAACCAACTCGTGATGGCGTCCGTAAAATTTACGAATTGATGATTTCAACTTCACCATTTGGAACTCTTGGTTTAATAGCTTCTTTGTGAGCAGAAACCCTCTATCAAGGAAATCATGATAGGAAATACAAGCCCGGGAATATCGTATCAATTGGGAGATATATACTCCGTATGCAGGCGCTGCTGGAATGTTGCTAAATAGAAATGGAAAGTTCATAATTGGGAAGCTGAATTCATCTCTTTTGTCGTAAAGTTTTGTTTTCAACCGACCTTCATTGTCAATTTCTAGATGTAAGTCAAGATATGAGGCAGACTTAACTGTATCTGTTGTATCCTTTATTTCTAGTTCGATGGGATAGATGCGTTCAACATAGTCACCAAATTTTGAATTATTTAGTGAGAGAACATCATCTATATAGCGGAAAGTAAAGTTAAAGGATATTGCTAACTTCTTATCTTTCTTCCTATAAAGTTCCTGTATGAAGTCAGCCTCATAATAATAAAGAAACAAGTCGGCAAGAAGAGGGGCACCATTGGTTCCCATTGGAATGCCGACAGTCTGTTGAAAAACACGTCCTCCAAACGTAACAAATATTTTGTCAATCGAGAAATCAAGCATCTTGATAATGTCAGTTTCAGAGAATTTTTTGTTTGAATCAGAGTGATTCTTTACAAAGTAGGAATTATCCCTCCCCAAGACAAGATACTTGTATCTACGTTCGCCATTCTTTTTTATGAAACAAAGCAATACCAACTCTTTTAATTTGTCTTTTAGTTTGGAATGGGGAATACTTGTGTAAAGTGTAGAAAAGTCAAATGTTTTAATACTATTGCAAGATGAGAGAGTCTGTAGATTGTATGTACTCTAAAAGATCTTTGGAATTTTTTAGTATCCACATAAGATACATAAGTGTTATGGTCACAATTACAAATTGGTTGACAGAAACGATGTGTCTTTGTCTAAACTCACTAGCGCGACATGTATTCGCGAGCTTTGGTCTTTAGATACCAGCACATGTGCCTGGTCTGTATATGTACTGATTGTTTTCTATTCCCTAATGTGCTATTTTGACTGAGTTTGGACTCGCACGGCGGGTGATACATGTATAGCAGGAGACGCTAATCCTGTTGACCTACCTACTCCCGCTTCTTTTTGAGTTCTTGCGATTTCCTATGTTTTGTTTTTAACCTTGATTTGTATCATTTGAATGTATTTTTGAGCTATGAACATCGGTAAATTACTGTCATATTGTTACTGCCTTTTATGGCGCGAAAAAAATACCATCAATAAATTACGGAAAATAAGTTTAATCGCTACAGACGATCATTCTGTTATCTCATCAAATCTTTTTTTGATTTTTAAAAAGAAGATGTAAAATAAGGACCTCAAGAAAATTGTAATGATCGAAAATAAACTGAATTTCTATATCAAAAAAAGATGTCTGATCACTTGAAATATGGGCAAACCAAGATGGTCTCTACAAATTACGCTCAAATATATAAAATGCACTTTGATATTTAATATGCAATAAGATATTTATATACTGCAATAAAACGATACTTTGAAATATTTCAAACCAGAAAACAAAATAAAAATCG